CTCCTCCTTTCAGATGCTGTGTCTTCTGTGAATTGGCCCGTGTGAAAGGAACGCTCCCCGACCACGTCAATCTTCATTGCAAAGATCGGAATCAGAGAGATGTTTTACGTCACTGTCAAGGGATCTGTTGTTTTTGAAAACTAGAATATAATATTGTTTTCGTCTAAATAGAAACAAAAGAAGTTTTTAGTATTAATTGTTGTTTTTTTCTTCATTTTTGTGCTTTATCTTTAAACCAAGGACTACTATACTAGTAGTCCTTGCTTTAAACTAATAAATTATGACGTATGACCTATCAAAACGAATCACTTCTTTTTCTCCTTTTTTTCTTTACCTCTTTTTTCTTTCTTTCTTTCTTTCTTTTTCTTTTTTTCTTTACTCGTTTGTCTGCAATTACAGAATTTTCCTAGAGAGTCGTTTTCTTTTTTTTTTTGTATACAGCTCTTTCCATAGCCTGGCTTTATATAGGGTGACGTATACTACAAGGAAGCAGGTGTTTCTTTCTACAAAGTATGCGTTTACATTTTGTCTGTCTGAAATGGATGGGAGTACCATAGTTTGAATCAGTTCCCGTGTAGGGACATATGTATATTCATATAATATCTATTTTTGCTTGGATAGTATACCTTGCCTTACAGCTCCTGGAATGGCTCTGAGAAGCAGATTAGAAGCAGCTGGCCCTCTAAATTATTTGAATCAATGTTGGCAAAAATTATTACAATGCATCTTGTTATTAATGGTATGGTACTATGTAGTGTTATTCAAGTGAGCGAGGAAGACATGGGCTTGTCAGAAACTTATGGGCTGGGCATGGGCTAGACTGTTCAAGGCTCATACATTTTGGGCTCGGCCATATTGGTCTGGTCAGGAACATATGGGCTGGGCATGGAGAACATCCAGGCTGGACATGGAGGGCATACGGGCTGGACATGGGGAACATATGGGCTGGACATGGGGGACATATGGGCTGGACATGGGGGACATATGGGCTGGACATGGGGAACATATGGGCTGGACATGGGGACCGTACAGGCTGGACATGGGGGACATGTGGGCTGGACATGGGGAATATGTGGGCTGGATATAGGGGCCATGCAAGCTAGCCAAGAACATGTGGGCTGGACATGGGGACCATGTGGGCTACACAGGAACATGCAGGCTTCACCCGGGCCAGGCGTGGGGCAGGGTCGAACATACCACATGTTTCTGTTTGGCACGGCTGTATACCACGCAATGCCCGTGTCTTGTGTGTAAAAACGAGCGGGGCTGACATGGGGCCCATGTGGGTTCGTCAAAAACATGTGGTCTACATCTGGGCTAGGCATGGGCTGGATATGGGCTGGACATGGGCGGACACATATGGGCCCTTTCAATCGCCCATGATCAAAAACCACGTGGCGCCGAGTGGGATTACCAGATGGTGCCCATATCCAAGACCAGCTTGCGCCCATGTGGGGCCCACTTTTTTGTGCAGGCTGGGGAAGAACATCAACTGTTAAAACCATGTTTGGTTTCAGCAATCACGGATTTTAAAAAGCATACAAGACAAAACTTATTTATAAAACCTTTATTTTAAAGTTAGGCTCACGGCAGAGCAAAAACTGACAATAGAAGAGAGCGTGGATAGAGGGCCGGAGCTTGAAGGACTGTGAGAGTGAGAGCGTGGGATGTTGTGATGCTTAAAACCTGGCAATCAGTGAATCACTGCATCATGGACTAAGTAGACTATTGATTTTTTTCAAAATGCTAAATCACAGAGTATTAGTTTTTAATAAGCAACAAACCTTCATGAGACATAGGCATCCAACATAGAGCTTTCCGAGGGTTGAAAATGGCATTTCCTCATCGCCACTATTCAATTTGTCATCACTGACAAATCCGACAAATCTGGGAACCCCAATCTTGAAGATAAAATCATCAAGCCTGTACTCTAAGGTTCCCTCATTTACGCACTCGATTGTCAAATGTCAAAACCACTTCCACTTTTCGTTTTTATTTTAGCATCAGATTCTTGCACGGCGGCCTTATCCTGCTGCCGTAGACTTTATTGCGTCAAACACCTCCCCTCAATTCCGAAGCCCTGCAACGCTCCTAGATCTACTTTGAATGAACTTTGATTACCCCAAAACCACCGACCGGTTCCTTACTCATGCCGTACCCACACAGGTTCAATGACCGGTCACGATGACGGGCCTAACAATATAGAAATCGAAGGGAGCTTGTTTTCTTTTTCTTCCTTTTTTTTGTCATTAGAGTGACAGCAGTGAGAATATCAATTAAATTTGTATGGCGACACTGTGTTTTTTTATGCACAAACTGCATGTTACAAATTTTTATTTATCTGTAAATTTAACGTTAACAAACTATCATCGGACAATTCTGAGTGGTAAGGAAAGCGAAAGTAGATTTTGATTTTCCCGATGGAGTCTCAGTATTACACCTACACTTCCACCTGCCGCCATAGCCGCTTATTCACGTGAAACGTACTCTTGGACTGGGGAAAGCTGAACAAAATACATATATCACAAACGCGATCGGCAAAGTATGAACTCGGTTAGGTAACCTTTTCAGATTTGGTTTCGAGGACTTTGTGTATTTTCTCGGGTCTCGACGATTTTTTTCCTCCAGATTCCCGGGTAATTCCCGCAGCCCCCCTGCGTAAAATCCTCATTTGGTACTGACCAATTCTCTAGACCAAGACAGATTTCAGAATGTTTTGCTTTGATACCGATATTTCAAATACATTCACAATTTTGTTTTCTAGATAAATTAATAAAATGCACAGATTTTCCAGCCGCAGCAAAAACCCGAAGATAGACAGAAAGAATGAATGAATGAAAGGAAGGAGGAAGATTATCTATCGTGAGTAGAGAGATTTTAGCCGATATGCACGTGAAAAACTATTGCCGACCGAACGGCACAGATAGACAATGGTCGAGTGTACGAAATGCGCAATCTGGCAGTTGCTAATACAACTTATTGCCGAGAGTTGCCGTAAATATCTGATAAGCTACGGAGGCAAATGCTTCTCTCTCTCTCTTTCTCTCTCTCTCTCTCTCTCTCTCTCTCTCTCTCTCTCTCTCTCTCC